TTTCTAATTCACAAGTCTTTTTTGTTAAATAGTAACTTATTGTTCTGGGACTTGCAACCACTCAACGCTCTGAAGTACCTATAAACTAGAATTTAATTCACTAGAATTTTGACTTAGGGTAACAAGCCACATTGTTCCCCCTAAAGAATGGTACAAGATGTACAAATGAAGAATAATGGATCGATTTAAATAAAGGAGAGGGTGTTTGATTTGCCGGAAAATATATTCTGAATGCTGAAATCAGTTAGATTAAGGGAGAGTCTGCTGAGGAGGTGCCATCACCAAGACAATTTTTAGAGACAGTCTGTTTCAACTCATTTTAAAGCAGCCATTATCATTTCATGTGCTAATTATTTAGATGTCTACAAAGTCCCTTTGAAATATTTAAATCACAGTTTGAGAAAGAAAGAAAAAACCTTTTCAAACTGAATCTGTTAGTCTATGTTCCAGAGTGACACTCCTAACTAGTGTGTGAATTTGAAGTCAAAATAACTTTGCATGTTTTGCTAAACAAGGATATGAAAGGGTTAAGCATCACAGAGTTCCTGATTACTAGAGAGGGCACTGTGTGATGTCACTTCTCTTGAGTTCCCTGGCAGGAAAAAGACAAAAAGATTTAACCCTTTATACTCCCCCCTGCCTCAGAACTCAAGTCTCTTTTCCACCATGCTTCTCAGGTAGATGGTCTTCTGTTTTGATCTCTGCTTAAGCAGAGACTTCAATTTGAACTCAAATATGTATTTTATAATCTAGAAATAAACGTTGCCAGCCTACTTTTTGCTACTGTTACTGCCGGAATCAAGTGCAATACTTTATGTAAGTAAACACTATTTTTATGCTTAATCTACAGTCTGTCACATGATTCTTTTAATTCAGAGGGAAGGGGGCGGGGAGAAATCCAGTCAATTACCGTAGTTTGGATAAATTGCAACAAGCCTACACAGCCTAGTCCCAAAGTTTCCACTTTAATGATGCAAGGGATGTTGTTTTAAACTCTGCTATCTAATTGTTTTAAGTTTAAACATTCTGTTCACACACATGAGTAATGGGGGAGATAAATTGTAAAACATATCCTATTCTGCCTATAAAACCCATACAAGAACTTGAGTAATCTGATAGTCCCAACATATCCCCATAATGAAACAGAGAGAAATCATCATTCCAGACTACCTCAGTCATGCCCTGCCCCCAGGACAGCCATGTTTTGTGACATCAGTTGGAGAATGAAACCAGTGATTGATGTGGCAAGCTTTCAACCAGAAACCGCATCCACTCCATTTAATTCACTTGAGACCATTTCAGCTCTCCTCTCAGAACTCACATGAAGATTCATGGGACTGTAACATTTGAGCCTTCGGTTATTTATTTATTTTAACCTTACTCCATGAATTGTCTTCAGTTCCACCACCATTGAACCTGTCGTCCCATTGATATTAATTCTTTGTACTTATGGAAAGATGTTGTTGTCAGTGACCACAGCTATCCAAAATATATTTCACTTTCAGAAATCAATCCAACATTGCGTCCCATATTGACATGCCACATTTCATGTCACTGCATAATTCATACACCCCCCTTTTATTCCATAAATATACCTAGACTGTATTTTAAATTGAAAGCACAGCTTAAATGACAAAGCTTGTACATGAAGTGAACCTGGAGTGAGACAGAACTTTTCATTTTTCAGTTCAAAGAAAGGCTAATGGCAATACAGTTAAAGTCCTGAATATTTCATTTCCCCTTTTATGACCTTTTTTTCCTTTTTTCTTTACAACAAATGATTTGATGATTTCCATCTTTAAAGAAGGAAAACATTTTACTGTGACTGGCTTAATTCACTAAAAGGTAAGATTTGTTCAAGCAGTTACAATTCAGAAAATGAGAAGCAAATATGCTTCTGCAAAACAGAAGCTGAACTTTCTTTTATTCTGGATTTAAGACATGGCTTCTTGGCAGGTAGGGCTCTTTTTAAACTTAATGCAATGCTATGAACATTTAATTGGGAGTAGATCACACTGAATTCAAGGTGATCTGTTTATGTACATATGTTTTGGGTTGTGGTGCAATTCCCCAAACACTTACTCCTGGTCTTGGCTAGGAGCAATGAAGGAAGTGTTGTGTTGGAAATATCTTCTGCATTTTTTCAAACATCTTCCATCAATTAATGAGGAAAAAAATTAGGTTTGGAATTTATGAATTGAGAGCAAGAATTTTGGTGAAATTCTCATGGTTCAGAAGCAGAGGCTTTGATGCTCTTACTTTACTTTTGATGTGGCCAGGGTATTTTGAGAGAGTCCTTTCTTTCCTTCTACAAATCATCTCACCCATAGTCTGCATTCTGCAGCTTATGCAGGTGCCCATGGATCAGTCAAAGCCCAGGGAAAGACATAATGTAACATCTCCCATGCACCTTTTTCCAGATCATGATCTGTGGACAACCAAGGATTTTGCAGAGTGCTGGAGAATTTTTTTTACATATTTTTCACTCTATAAGATGCACCAGACCATAAGGCGCATCTAGTTTTTGGAGGAGGAAAACAAACAAACAAAAATATTCTGAATCCCAGAAGCCAGAACAGCAAGAGGGATCACTGCACAGCGAAAGCAGCGATCCCTCTTGCTGTTCTGGCTTCTGGGATAGCTGCACAGCCTGCATTCGCTCCATAAGACGCACACACATTTCCCCTTACTTTTTAGGAGGGAAAAAAGTGAGTCTTATAGAGCAAAAAATACGGTAATGGAAAATAAAAATGTAAACACACCTGGCCACTTCACAATAATACAGTAAACTCAAAGCTCCCACACCTACTGAAATTATAATAAGTTCTAAAGTGCCCTGAGAATGAGACAGAAAAAGACGCTTCTCTTTTTGTAGGGGAAAGAGAATTTCTCAAACAATTTGGGGAACTGGAGGGCAGATCTTGGCAAAGCACTTCAAGTGCTGCAACAATCTTAAGATACCACTGAAAGTTGACTTGGCCTTCTGACTCTTCTAGCCTGCTCCACCCCCAGTCATAATCATCTGCACCAGTCTCACACCAACATTATTTGCTGTATCCCATAATGTAGAATTTTGCACTATGGTAGCTGATTATTCAGCCCAGTTTAGCAAATCTGAAAGTCGAATAAGGTGACTGTCAATGAATACAGAGTTGGTAAGTTACCAGCGAAGCATGTGGCAAATGGTTTGTTGATATTCCTTCAAGTCTTACTACCCACGGCTAGAGATGCTTTCTCTTTCAGCAAGAGATGTCAAATATCTAGATAACTCAGAGTGAGTGATGGCTGAATCTTTCAGTGCTTCTTAATGAAAGCGTAGAACATTCACAGATGACTAAATGCAATCTTATTTCTTTCAAAAAGTAGAAATGTGTAGAAGCTGCGAATTTTCTTTTTCGGTTACCAATTTTCTGAGATAAGTCCCCCCCCCCCCCAAAAAAAAGGTCTGACTACCAGTTCATATTTCAGCATTCCCATTCATTTATTGATATCAGCTCTATACTTTTAAGGAAGGTCCTCAAATGCTTGCTCATTTCTTCCCTCCCCCCGTACAAGTTTTCAGCTGGAGTCACATACTATAAGGCTGTAGGCTTTAAGGCTGAATAGTGTCTGGCTGTTCACACATAAAATGGTTAATATATTGCAAGACAAAACATGATTTGGCACAGAGTAAAAATACTTGCAAGAATACAGACGCAGCACAAACAAGAAAAAAGAGAGAGCTTCAAAATCAAAGAATATTGTGAATGTATACTGAAAGCTAATTCTCCCAAGCAGAACCCATAAATGGATTTGTAGAAAGCATAACAGAAGCCAGAATAGCTGCCAAAATTTTCAGATTGGAAGTTGAAAGTAGAAGAATCAGCGTTCTTCTCTTTCTGCATATTTTGGCAGCCAGGCTAATAAAATGCTATAGGAAAGGCCCTGCTGCCATGCAGTTAACGTCTTAAAAACTATATTGTTTTGTCAGATTTTACTATTTTATATAATGTGTGATTTTTTGTTGTTTTTATTCATTAAGGAACTGCCTTATGCTAACAGGTTCATCTAGCTCAGTGGTATCAATACTGACTATGGCTCTCTGGGGTTTTAGAGATGGAGATGCCAAGAATTGAACCCAGAACCTTTTACAGCCACAGTATGCAGTTTACCACTGAGCTTCATGCCTTCTCTTCATTGAATACGGCACCTTGGAAATTTTATATTGCAGAATGAAATGATTGTAAAATAGTTGTACTAGAAAATAGTCATAGTGGCAACTTCATTTTTACTTAAATAATATGTAGCAGGCTATATATAGCGTAGCTGATCTAGCATCCGGAAAAAGAGAAAAGCAAACTTCAATATTAATGCCATACATATTCATTAACTAAAAAGAAAGAAGAGTCGAAAATGATGTTCACTTAACAAGACCGACAGAGAATCAAACGTAGGAAAATACTATTTTGGAGTGCTTTAGCTCTGTGTAGGACCTGAAGAATAAGGTGAATTAAGATGATTCAGGGTACAGTGGTACCTTGGTTCCGAACTTAATTCATTCCAGGAGTCCATTTGACTCCAGGAACCATTCAAAAACCAAGGCGCGGCTTCTGATTAGCTGCAGGACCTTCCTGCACTCAGTCGGAAGCCGTAGAAGCTGTGTTGGACGTTCGGTAAAAAAGTTCACAAACCGGAACGCTTACCTCTGGGTTTTTGGCGTTGATTTGTTTGAGATCCAAGCCGTTTGACAACCAAGGTGCCACTGTACTCCTTCCTCCTCATACACATCAGCAACACCCCAAGTCAAACCACGGCCACCCCCAAAGTTTCATGTAGCTTTGCTTCTATGCCATAGTTTCTACATATGTCTATGTGCATCAAGTTCCATTGGTTTTGCAAGAAGTGAGGCTGCCCAACCGTAGGACACAGAAGAACTCTGGTTTGTTTTTGTTAAAGCTACTGGAAAATAACGCCCATTGCAGTGTAATGGATTGGAGCCTGAGAAGAGGTAGTAGAACTTTGGGGAAGATCCATAGCTCAGTGGTAAAACATCTGCTTTGCTTACAGAAGGTCAAAGGTTCAATCCCTGGCATCTCCAGGTTAGGAGAGGCTGCTTTGTGAAACCCCTGAGAGTCACGTCCTGCTAGATAGACCAGTGCTCTGATTCACTATGTGTAAGCTTCATATGTTATTGTGGTCATGGAGGAAGATTTTCCTGGCCTCTTCCCTTTCCCAGCCCCCACTGCAGACTCCCGTAATACATTCATACCTGTTTGCGCAAGACACCTTTGCATACCAGCAATGGCTATCAGTTTCTCTAGTAATTTAGACTTAGGAAGGACAAGTTTATTTTATTTTTTGAGGAAAAAACCTGAATACTATCAACTGCTTTGGGGCATTTCTCTCTGACCCTAGGTTTAAAAGACTTCCCAATAGAGTTATGAAAATAGTGTGCAATAAATAACAGCTTGATGCTTCTCAATAGGAAAAATGAACAGAAAATGAAAGAATGAACAGCTTGTAGAAAACTAGTAAACAAACCATAGATACACACAGCTTTGGTTTAAATTCCAAGGAGCTTTAAATATAAGGCATTGGCAACTGAGAATTCAGTGATTCGCTGCTGGCACTTTTTTTTCTTTTTTGAAAAAGCACATTTAACACAGTGTTGATACTGAAGAATGTGATAATTATGCTTCAAATGCAAATACTTTGTTGGCCTGCTTTTATAAAATCCACTTTGTCACACTCTCCCTCAGAGTTAATCTTCTTAACAGAAGCTACAAGCTTCTGTTTAGAACTAAAAAGAAAAAAAGAGAAAAAAAATACGCTTTCAGTTCTATTGTTTGGGAAGCAGTTCTTGGTTTTTTAAATTATCTCAGAAAATGGATGTTTTTTAAAAAATTCAAATAAAAAATAGACCATGTACTGTGAGTTCAGTGACCTAACTGTATTTAAAATAATTTTTACAACTACTTCTTTACATTTTTATTTGCTTCAATTTATTTCTTTATCTGAATATGAATTATTTAGCGTTCATTTTCCACAATGAGGAAAGCAAGCTGCAGTAAATTGTTGCTTTAGGTGAAAACTTGTAAAAACTACAATGTAAATGCAAATAAATCCCACATAATAAAAAATGTGAAGCGTTTATAAACTTCAGGTAATACCAGCAAAACATCTTTGTTTGCTTTGTTATAGCAAACCAATAAATTAATGCAGTGTTGAGGTGGCTTCTTCCTTTTTTTAAAAGAACATTATTTTATCAAGATGCTTTCATCTAAAAACTGACGAAATTCAGCAGTTTAGATCTAAAGTGTTCCCTCTGTGAATGGAAATGATCTTTTCAGGTGAGAAAGGAACTGAAATCAAGGGGGGGAAATCAAGGAAAAGAGCACTGTCAGGATGGGATTGTCTTGGCAGACCCCAATGGAGGTGGAGGAGGAACAGATGCGAGGGGCCTGATCAGGGCCGGATTTAGGTGTGATGAGGCCCTAAGCTACTGAAGGTAATGGGGCCCTTTAAATGTCCAGCTGTCCTTTGTCAACAACAAATTGTCGCTGTTTTTTGTGTTAAATATATGCTATATGGTAATTTATAGACCAAAGAGATATCTAAAGCCATTTGCACATGCAGAATGTAGGCACCCTATATAGAAATGAGCAAACCAGTGATATTTTAGGGAGCAGGCTAGCAGGCGGGACCCATTACTTACATCATAGGAGCCTACACAACACAAAACACTGTTGCTGCATGTAGGTTTTATTCTACAGTGGTACCTCGGGTTAAGTACTTAATTTGTTCCAGAGGTCCGTTCTTAACCTGAAACTGTTCTTAACCTGAAGCACCACATTAGCTAATGGGGCCTCCCGCTGCCGCCGCGCCGCCGGAGCACGATTTCTGTTCTCATCCTGAAGCAAAGTTCTTAACCTGAGGTACTATTTCTGGGTTAGCGGAGTCTGTAACCTGAAGCGTATGTAACCTGAAGCGTATGTAACCTGAAGCGTATGTAACCTGAGGTACCACTGTATTTGTTTTTTATCTTATACATTGGTACCTCTAGTTATGAACTTAATTCGTTCCGGAGGTCCATTCTTAACCTGAAACTGTTCTTAACTAGAGAGGTGCTTTCGCTAATGGGTCCTCTTGCTGCCGCTGTACACGATTTCCATTCTCATCCTGGGGCAAAGTTCTCAACTCAAGGTAACTCTTCCAGATTAGCAGAGTTTGTAACCTGAAGCGTTTGTAACCTGAGGCGGGTGTAACTCGAGGTACCACTGTATTTTGGAAATGTACATCCAGGTGTTTTTTTCTCCTTTAATTTTTTTGGGGCCCCCCAAGAGAGTGGGGCCCTAAGCTATATCTTGTTTAGCTTATACGTAAATCCGGCACTGGGCCTAATTAGTGGGAACTGGGGTCAGAGGAGGAGGATTTTCCCCATCCTGCCCTGACTTCAGGCACTTTGGAATGGGGAACAAGGATGATGGCTCCTCCCCTCAACCCATCGTTAAAGGAGAGACACTCAGTGGAGGCTGCGAAGGGCTGTGGGCAGCTGAATGGGGAGGCAAGTCAGGAGGCGGCAGCAACTGATCAGGCCCCCTGAACAAGAGGGTGCTGTATGTTGCCTAGAAACAGGCAGCATCTGCACAAATGGGAGCAGACCCTGTCGGAATCTCCGCTACGACCGAGCTACCCCTCCGGTTGAGCCTTCAGAATCTCCTCCGACGATGGTTAACGACCTGAGCCTTTGATAAGGCTCCAGGCACGTTCCCCATTCAGCAGAGTATCCAAAACAGCAGAAGGAGCCGAGAAATATGAGCTACATCGCTATGCTGTATTTTTCCAATGATGCAGACAGTAAGAATTTACATCCTTTCTCTGTGAAAAGCAGAGAGCAACTGAAACAAAGGAACAGGAAACCAGTAACGTCACATCCGTCTCCCATTTTCTGTGAAACTTCCAACAGTCTGGAATGTCTGGAATGCAAAACAGAGTCTTGTGACTCCAAGTACTGCACAGTGGCAACACAGAGAAACCTAACAGACCCACCCCTGCTAGAGGAGTGCACATTTGCAATGCTCACTTTCCCACAAAGGCAGTGAGTATCATAATTGAGCGCTTTACAGGCTTGGTGTGCAGGACTGGGCAACTGTTGGGACATCCTCATTGCTTCTGTTCATTTCCGAATGCCCTGCTTGATTCCTGAACTCCTGTTCTTAAGAGAAATTTGTAACAAAGTACAAAATGCCTAATTATCCGGTGGCTTAATTGGAGAAGGATGAACCCGATCTGTCCTCTGAGAGAAAAAAAAGGGAGGGCTGGTCTTGTGTGATTATTTTGCCAAACAAGCAGCAGCATTCCTGACAAGCAGATGAAGCAATGCTGATTTAAATACTGAAGATAACTATGTAAAGAATGTTACCGATAGGCAGCCATGTACATTTAAAGAAATAAATAATTGGTTCCAAAGAAAGACCAAGTTCCTATCACATTTCAGTTTAGGTTTCCATGTTTGAGAATTCATATTTTATTGCGTAGCTTGCAAATACGTGCTATCAGTGACATCTGCAAAATTAAGTTTCAGCTTTTAGTGATGGTTTTCAAAGCACTATAAATAAAACCACTATGGCCTGTTGGGATAGAATCTGAAATGTGTTGCTCTCATACCTGTTCTGAATAATTTCTTTTTTATGTTAGGATTTTCTGTTCACCACATGTTTTGATTGAAAATCCTACCAGTAAACTTACAATGTTCAGCCATTAAGAATATAGCTGTACATCTTCATTAGTGTAATTAGAAACACAGTGGCATTGCAACTGCTAAAATGATAAGCTGTTTCTCTGTATTACTTCAAACGTCTGTATAAAAAAGTCTGTACATTCTGCAGACAGAGTGGAGTGCATGAGCTTCTCCTTTTCTAAATACCTGGTTTTAAATATGGCAGTTTCAGATGGACTAGAAGGTTGTAGTACATTGGTACAGCAAAAACCTGCCAGCTTTTGGATTTTGATGAATAGTTTCCTCAAGGCTAGACCAGAAATATTTATTTTTTTTCAATTGTTCACTATGCATGAATAATAAAATGAATAAAATTGGCTGACAGAGCCTATTAAGTAGGACACACTGTATTTGAAGTGCCAAACCCCAAACAATTATGAAAAAGGTAGGAATAGCTTACTCCACCTCAATCTTTGGATTATCTAGTAAAGGTAAAGGGACCCCTGACAATTAAGTCCAGTTGTGAACGACTCTGGGGTTGTGGCACTCATCTCGCTTTAAAGGCCAAGGGAGCCGGCATTTGTCTTCTTCCACAGACAGTTTTTCTGGGTCATGTGGCCAGCATGACTAAGCCGCTTCTGGTGAAACCAGAGCAGCGCATGGAAACACTGTTTACCTTCCTGCTGGAGCGGTACCTATTTATCTACTTGCACTTTGACATGCTTTCAAACTGGAAGGTTAGCAGGAGCTGGGACCGAACAATGGGAGCTCACCCTGTCGCGGGGATTCGAACCGCCGACCTTTCGATTGGCAAGCCCAAGTGGCACAATGGTTTAACCCACAGCGCCACCCGTGTCTACCAATGCATCATTAGTGACAGTGTCACATCAAGAGTGTATTTACTCTACAAAGAATAAGTGTGTGTGATTTTGTCATTCCTAGAACGGGTGGGAATACTACCAGAAAATACTAGGGTTTGAAAAAATAAGCATTCACCTGTTTTAAATTTAAACATAATATAATTATGGGAAAACATGTTAATCTGTTTATAGGAACATTTATTAATTACTTAGAATATCCTAACCCTTTAATAACAGAGACTGGCCCATGGTTCATCATCTCTGCTATTTCATTTCCAACTGTAGTTAGTCATGTTGGTTAGAGCATGGCGCTGACAACACCAAGGTTCCAGGTTCAATCACTTTAAGGGACAGCTGCATATTCCTGCTGCATTGCAGCAGGCTGGACTAATAATAATAATAATAATAAATTTTATTTATACCCCACCCTCCCCAGCTCAGTGCGGCTAACACCAGGTATAAAAACAATTGATTGAAATACAACTTAAAAACAAGATTAAAATACAACATTAAAATGCA